CGCATACGGAAGGCGCTCTTGCTGAGGTGGTGAGGTCTATGCCCTCGCGTCATTGCACCCACCGCCCCAGCAGGTTGCGGGGAGCATGATGAAGCTCCCGAAGTCCGTGCACGACCGCCTCTACGGTTACCAGAGGCAGGGCATCACCTGGATGTGGAACCTCTTTCACAAGAGGTGGGGCGGCATTCTTGCAGACGAGATGGGGCTCGGCAAGACGGTCCAGTGTGCTGCCTTCCTTGCCAGCCTGAAGTTCACGCAGCAGGGCTCGCGCTTCTTGGTGGTGGCAAACATGGGCTTGCTGGAGCGGGGGAATGGATACTGATGATGACGATGATGATGCTGCTGATGATGATGCTGATTATGATGATGATGCTGATTATGCTGCTGATGATGATGCTGCTGATGCTGCTGCTGATGATGATGATGCAAATTATGATGATGGTGAGGAGGAGGATTCTGAACAGCAGGATTCTATTCGCACATGCATCACACATACAAATAGAAGAGCTCAGAGAGACCAGTACGTTTACATACATATATAGATATACATATACACGCAAGTGTATGCGTGTATGATGACGAGGCTGATGGTGATGGTGATGGTGATGGTGATGGGGGATGATGATGATGATGATGATGATGATGATGATGATGATGATGATGATGATGATGATGATGATGATGATGATGATGATGCGGATACTGATGATGGTGATTATGAGGAGGAGGAGGAGGAGGATGAGGAGGAGGAGGAGGAGGAGGGGGAGGAGGAGGAGGGGGAGGAGGATGCTGCTGCTGTTGATCTCTCACTTCTAAACAATATCCAGTGCCGATCCCCCCTCCAGCTTATTTGTTGTAAGACAAAGTTAAGGTGCTCTTACCGGGGCTCGCGCCCTGTTTTTACAGAGGAGCGTCTTCCTCAGATTGGGTTGTCGGCCCCCGAGCTATTCGAACAACGGCTCCCGCCTGATACTTTTTTTGAACTCCACGCTCTGTCCGCCACGTTTAGCCAGGCACCCTACGGCGGGGGGAGAGAGCCTGCAAAGTAATGCGCAGGACATTAGTGAAGAAATTGCCACCGATTCGCGCTCGCGCGCGAGACTCTCTCTCAAGTCATACAGGCATCGCGCTCGCGCGTGGGACCTCCCTACAAATCATCGAGACGCTGCGCCGTCGCCGCTCAGGACTCGCTCTCTCGCTCGGGCTGTTCTCACGATTTACCTTGGGGTCCCGCTGCTGCTCGAGACCTCCTCGCGGCTCACGCAGGACCCACGCTTCAGCAGCCCGCCTGCTCGACCTGGCCGCCTGGGCCCGCTTTCTCGACCCGCCCGTCCGGGTCTGCCCGCCCGATCGGCCCGTCTGGTTGTGCCACGTTCTTTCTGCTCCTGGGCCCCTCTTAATCTCTCTCGTGTTCCTTCCTTCCTCCTCCTCTTCTCACCCTTCCATACGTCCTCTCTTTCCCTGTTCTAGGGGCTGCACCAATTACACGTGGCAGGAAAGGAAGATGTGCCCCCAAGGGGGTTACGATCAAAGAGGAAGAGGGCTGGTATTCTCATGGCCTCCGGCCCATCCCGATACCGTGCCTTGGTTGTGGGTCAGAGTTCTCAGGGATGCTTCTTGGGGTCTCTTCGGAGCGCTCTCGGGGGCTTCTTGGGGACAGTTTTGGGGCTGCCTGGGGGCCCTTCGGGGCCGAGGGGTCGAAATGTCCGTTCGGGTCCCCCATCTGGGCTCCCTCGTGGAGCCGTGTTTGGGGCCTCTTGCCGTCTTCGGACGCTCTTGGGCCGTTTTGGGGCCCTCTTGGAAGCCTCTGGGACCGTCTTTGAGCAGTCCTGTGGGCCTTTGGGCCGTCTTGGAGCGTCGGGAGCTCGAAACGTCGAGAACGCCCAAATCCGTAAAACACCCAAAGAACATCGCTGAATCTTGCCTCCCGGGGCCCTCTTGGGAGTGCTCTGGGGGCTCGCTTGGGGCGTCTCGGAGGCCTCTCGGGCCGTCTTGGGGGGCCCCATTCGACCGTCTCGGGGGCCCTCCTGGAGCCCTCCGGGCCCGTCCTGGGGTCCGTCGTGCCGCCCGCAAGCGTCGCGCGGGAGGCCGCGCCGCGGCCTGGAGGGCTCCGCGCCAAGCCCAGGGAGATTCTGGCAGCTCTCGGTGTCCTGGCCGGCCTCCAGGGCCCCCCCCCGGAGCGAGGAGGGGCGCCCAGAGGAGCAGGCCGATGGCCCGACGACGCGAGCACTCCATGCCCAGCGGCGTGGCGGCAGCTCGGAGGCCGGGGGACTGGGGCCCCTCGGGCTTCCGGGGAAGTGTTGCGAGCTTTCGCCTGTCTCGTCGTCATTCATCCTGGTCTTCTCTCTCTCTATCTCTCTCTCTCTCTCGCTCTCTCTCTCTTTTTTTTTTTTCTCTCTCTCTCTCTCTCTCTTTCTCTGTTTCCCCTTTGGCTCACATGGGCTGCATACGTGGCACGCCCGGCTCAGCTGGGCTTTGCAGGGTCTAGCAGGGCTGAGCAGGGCCCAGGAAGTTTAACGGACCTCAGCAGTGCTCTGCAGGACGTACCAGTGCGCAGCAGGGCGTAGCAGGTCTGAGCAGAGCCTAGCACTGCCGAGCAAGGCGCACCACGCACGGCTTAACCCATCTTAGCAATGCCCGGCATGCGCTAGCATTGCTTACCAGGGGTTCGCGGGCCTCTTCACAGCTTGGCAGGGCCCGGCTTGCCTTGGGAGGGCAGGGCAGCAGGGCATATCATGGCTTTACATGTCATAGCATGGCTCATCGGGGCCCAGCATGACCGATCATGGCCCATCAGGGCCCAGCAGGGCATACCAGGTCCGAGCAGAGCTCAGCAGTGTCTAGCAGGGCAGAATCTGGCTCATCAGAGATGAGCATGGCGCTGCAGAGCGCAGCAGGCCCTCGCCTGTAGGGCCGAGCCAGACATGGCCGTGCTTCGCAGGCCTCACCAGGACACAGCAACATTGAGCGTGGCTTAGCAGTCGCAATGAGTACCTGGCGGAGCCCAGCAGGGCGTAGCGGAGCCTGGCCAAGCTTAGCGGGGCTCATCAGACCCGAGCAGGGCGTGGCAGGCCATGGAGGGGGCGATGACTAGCATAGCAGAGCGTATCGGGGCTTACCAGAGCCAGGACCTGACAGGGCTTAGCATGGTTCAGCAGGCAGTCTTATGGCTTATCAGGGCTTATCAGAGCTTACCAGATGTTGCCAGGGTTTCGCAGGGTCTGGCAAGGCTCATCAGGGCCTGCAAGGACTGATCAAGGGTTAGTATGGCATACCTGAGCTCAGAAGCGCTGAGCAAAGCCTGCGCGGGCGCAACCGGGCCGCGCACGGCTTGCAATGGCATGGGGCGTCTTGGCAGTGCATCGCAGGAGCTCGCATTGCATATCGGGGCCTAGCAGGGCTTGGCAAAGGAGGGTTTCGCCGAGCTCAGCGGGGCATAGCGTGACCCTGCAGGGCGCTAGCAGGGCTCCCCAACGCCACTTGGCAACAGGGCTTAGTAGGGCTTAGCAGGGGCTGGCAGGGCTCACTCGCAGGTGTTAGCAGTGCCTACCAGGGCCTAGCAAGGCTGAGCAAAGCTTAGCATGGCGCAGGAGAGCTTGGCAGACTGACGGGACATATCGCGATTTTGCCAGGCGCTAACAGGGCTCTTCAACGTGACTTAGCAGCAGGGCTCAGCAGGGCTCCACAGGGACTGGCAGGGCTCGTTCGCAGGGCTCAGCGGGAGCTGGCCAGGCCAAGCGAGGTTTCGCAGGGGCTGGCGATGCCCACAAGACATTACAGGATTTAGCAGGGCCTAGCAGGGCTTCGCAGGAGGGCTAGCAGGCTTCGCGGGGGCGAGCTAGGAGGAGGAGAAGGAGGAAAAGGAGAAGGAGGAGGAAGAGGAGGAGTAGGGGGAGGAGGAGGAGGAGGAGGAGGAGGAGGAGGAGGAGGAGGATGAGGAGGAGGAGGAGGAGCAGGAGCAGGAGCAGGAGCAGGAGGAGCAGGAGGAGCAGGAAGGAGCAGGAAGGAGAGGAGGATGCCACAAAACACGCAGAGCATTCACAGACGCACGCGCGAATTCGCGCGCGCGCCCTCGACCCCGGGGGACTCCGCAGTCCCCCGTTCTCGCGCATCGAGGGCTTGGGATATACGTGTTGAATGGCACGCGAGCAGGTATGAGCGAACAGTCTTACAGTGGTGGCTTACTTCTCCTTGGTGACGAATTACTGTTGTTCCCCCTCCGGCGCACCTGGTGTTGTTTCAAGTCGAGTGCTCTCCCGTGGCTCGCACATGGCTTTTTCTAGAAGGGAAAGTATGCATCCTCAGGTTGTATTGTTGGCCCCCCCTCTTTACAGCACCAGCAACAATCATTTTAAGACTGTTCGCTCATATCTGCTTGCGTGCCACTCAACGCGTATATTCCGGACTCTCGGTGCCCGCTCTCTCTGTCTTCGATCGTACCTTGTTGGGGGTATACTTTCCTTGCCCGCCAAGTGCATATGGCGCAGCCCCTAGAACAGGGAAAGAGCGGACGGATGGAAAGTGGAGGGAGAAGGATGGAACACGAGAAACACTTGCAGGAGAGGGGGCTCGGAGCAGACAACACGTGGCAGAACCAGATGGGCGGATCGGGTGGGTAGACCCATGGCGGGCGGGTCGGGAAGGCGGGCCCAGACGGCCAGGTCGAGCAGGCGGGTTGCTGAAGCGTGGGTCCTGCATGAACCGCGAGGCAGTCTCGAGCGACAGCGCGATTCCCAAGTAAATCGTGGGAACGGCCAAAGCGAGGGAGCGATGCCTGAGTGTCGAGGGCCGCGGCGTTTGAATAAATTGCGAGAGCGTCCCACGCGAAAGCGCGACTCCTGCATAACTTGTGAGGAAGTCTTGCTCGGGATCGCGATTGTGAAATACATTGTGAGGAAATATCAAGCGGAAACCGTCGTCGTTGCTGCTGTTGTTGTTGTTGTTGTTGTTGTTGTTGTTGTTGTTGTTGTTGTTGTTGTTGTTGTTGTTGTTGTTGAACATTATTACTTCTAAAGAATAATTATTGTTGGGACCCCTGGTGCACGGCCCCCTCGCCGCGCCTAGGCCGCAGCCACATTTTCATCATTTTCGTGAGGAAGTCTCAGGCAAAACGATGTGATCCAGATCCGGTTGTTTTGTTACGGCCCGCTTTCCCTTGCAAAAAATAATAAAATGGACATTTCTTGTTCTAACATAACCAAATTTCAAGAATCCCTTGCAAAAAATAAGGTAAAGTGGACATTCGCGCGCGCCAGACGAAATCCTTCCAAAACCTTAGTTTTCGTAGCGATTTTAACATAA